CAAGAAGGTAATGCAGGGGGAAATTAAGAAAAAAGATCACTTATAACGCATCTTTTTGCCTAATTTCACTTGTCTCTGTTTTTTTGTCTGTCTTTTGTTGTTTTTTTTTTTATGTTGATGTCTATCTACATGCTGTATTCCTGTCTCTTATACACATCTAGATGTGTATAAGAGACAGCCCCCCCCCACCCCACATCGGGAAAATCCTGGCGCCACCCCTGACTGACGCGTTAGACTACTTTGATCAATGTGCCTATTCATTTTTTGTTTGTTAAGTAATGGAATGTTTGTGTATATAGTTCGGGTGCTCAAATTAAACATAATGTAGGCCTACATTGAAACTTAAATTGTACGTGGCTTAATCCCGGGGGCTTAATTAAAAATTTTTGTTTAAAAGTACCCGGTATTTTGTCAACAAACACATCCTGAAATAGATTTAAAACAGCTTAAAAATGCTCAGATTCCAGAGCGCCCACCAGGGCTTCACCTATTGACCCCGAAGTGGCCCTTCCACCCCCCTCCCCCTTACTCCCCCAGCCAACTGGTATAGACGCATTTCAAATCTTTCAGGGTGTTGGTAACTCATGTGACTGAGTCTTTTTGAAACTCTTGGTCTTGGAAAATACCGACACAGTCTAGTGATAATAAGTCTGTGATACAGTTACTGTATTGTAAATAGTGTAGGCCTAAACTAGGGAACGAAATAACCTGTAGCGTTTACGTTCAGAATCGACTGGGAATCCTGACTTTCAGAGCTGAGTTCGCCAGGTTCCAGCATGGTTAGAGTTAAAGTACTGTACCGTGGATATTGAAATTATAGCTTATGTTTAAAAATAAGATATATCGCCACCAACGACCTGATAATAGTCTGCATGCTGCCACTGATCTCTACCCTGATCTCTACTATAAATGGAGAGATCAGTGCATGCTGATGCTGCGCGCGTTGTTTTAAAATAACAATTAAAGCAGTAGATGTACACAAAAAGCAGACCTATTAAACGGCCCATGTCTGCAAAGGAAACGGAAACTTTTGTCTAGGTGTACTGTGACTTTTTGTGACGTTGCTACCAACTAAGGCTTGGCTTACTGGAGTACAGGCTATCTGGCAAAGAAGGTTCTGCAATTGGCTACTTCTACTAAATACAGGACTACCATGGCAGAGTGACCTGCCTGACAGTACCGTACTCGCGCGAATAAGCGCCCGGGCGCTTAAAATATTTTTTGCACTTTCTGAGGGGCGTTTATTCAAACGGTGTGCTTATTTAAAACGCTTATGAAAACGCGCTTATGAAAACAGAGTGGAAAATGAGGGGGCGCTTATGGAAATAGATGAAAATCGAGGGGTTATTATGGGAAATTATTAAATTCAAGAGGCACTTTTTGAATGAAAATGACAGAACGAATGGTGGTTAGGCGGAAAAGATAATCCTCAAGAGAACATGGCTCATGACAAGAATGCGTGAATATTTACAACAGCAAAATAGCAGATGCAATTAGTGGTGGTGGATAGTGGTTAGATTGTTGGACATCCGATCGGCCGATTGAGATTAGCAGGATGGGAGGATCATTGTATTTTCTCTTGAAAACTCAGATGAGAATGTGTTAAAGGTCGGAAAAAGAAAAAGAGGAGTAGGATTAGGTATAGACAAGTATGTAAAAAGTGTTAAGTTGGAAATATACTGTCTGTCCAGGGATCGGAGCTCTCATCTTTCCAAGAGAAATATCCTCATTTTGATGTTGACCTAAAAAAGAATGTGTTTCCACTCTGCAGCTCAAATCAGGCCAACAACAGTCCAGGATTGATTGGATTATTGCTAAAAAGAAAATCTTATGATATTACTGATGGGGGCGCTTATTCAAACGGGGCGCTTATTCGCGCGAGTACGGTACTACTTTTTTGGCCTGGAAATTACACACGTGACACATATAGGGATCTATATATCGATGCAGTGAGATGTTTAACAACAGACGTCAACGCGTTATTCTAATATGTTTACTGTTACTTATAAGAAGACAGCGGAGGAGAATAAGCATGTACGAGAGGAGGTGGAAACTTGAAAGGAGGAGAATAAGGATGAGGAAAGAAAGCAGAAAAGCATACATGAAATTAGTAAAGGAAATGGAGGTTAGGCCAACTTGTCCTTGGCTAGCTAGGCCTAGGAAGGTATCTTCCCGCTAGGAAGACCAGGAATAGGGCCTTGCCAGGTTTCATTAAATTAGGCCTAACCAAGGTCACGACTCAAGAGGATAGCATTGTGTCCTGATGATGATGAATCACACCTGAATGAACTCCTGCTCCAGTAGTTGCCTAGGCCTTGCGCATAGTACAACCATTTGGTAAAGCGAGACTTTTTTATTCCTTGCTTTGCGTATTTATTTTTTTCAGATCATCATCGGAAGGCAAAATAAAAATAAGAATATTTTGTTTTCTTATTTAACAAATAGTTTTGCCAAAAACATCCAGACGAAGGAGAAAATTAAATTTTTTTTTTTAAATTTTCACTTTTTCGTCGCAGCGGGTGCACTAAATTGCCCTAAAATTAAATTTTATTTTTTCTCGAAATTTCAATATTTGCGGTCGGCGAGGTACAAAAAAAGTCTCGGCTAAATATCCAAGGAAGTATAATTACAGTCCTCGCCTTGGTACTACTGTACTAGTACAGTACAGTACTACTACTAGGCTCTGGCCTATTACTAAATATAAAGCTAGGCCTAGGCTAGGGTCTCTCCAAAAAGTAGAGTAGTTATAGTATGATTAACAGTGTCACATGCAGCACCAACAATTTGTTTGCTCAATAAGGAGGAATGCTGTATTCAGGGGAAAATAAGCTGTAACAACACAAAAGAATTTGCGAGGTTGGTGTGGAGGGTGAAATCTGCCTCATAATTTGTGGTCAATACATGACAACCACCCTGCAGGCGACCCCTCCAGTGGTCTCAAAATGTGCGTCCACTGCACATCAAATGCAAAACAACATTGGAGGCCTAATTACAGGCCTTGGCCTCTTTGGTTTCTGGCACTTGTTGTACAGTAGTTAAGAAACAAGTGAATCTTATGCAATCTTATAAATTTTTCATGTCTTATTTTGCTTTCCAGCAACCAAACTGGTAACGCAAGATAATGAAAAGAAGATTGCAGATGAGTCCAAAAGTAATGGAATCAACACAACTAGTACCTCAACAAACACAGCTACAAGTTTAACATCGCCTAGACTTGTGGGAGAAGAGCCATCATTAGTACCAACATGCTGTTCCTGCTGCTTGTTATAGAATTCAACCAATCAAATTTATTCTTTTATTTGAAAGGTTGTTCATCACTTATGGAAGTTTTTAAAGGTTGTCTGCACCATATACCCGATTCACACATGAAGTTAAATTTAACAAAAAGTAACAAATTGTAACCGAGCGATCTCCCGAGTTATTCCTACCGAGATAAAAAGCATTCACACGCGTCTGTAAGGTAATGCCAAGGTTGTGTAAAATTTATTCAGTGTTTATTCAATGAACCATTTTTCCCCTACTGCGATATAGGTCTAGCCTAGGCCTAGTTGAGAACCCCTGTCACAGATGGACTGTTGAACTCACCATCGCAGTAAACATTCGAAGCAATCAATACCCTTAACAACTGCTGTACTACTACTTCTAAACTAGGCATAGCTTCCAACGTTTCTGTCGACTCTTGTAATACTAGTAATAGTACTAACACCATCCCGACGTTCATTTTATGTATATCTTCTTCTTCTACCATTACTAATTAACATCAATAACAAGGGTAATTCATTCATCATTGAGAAAAACTAGGCCTATCTATTTCAAGTGGATCAGAATCGTATTCAGAAGGAAGAAAATTCAAAGAACCCAGTGAAACAGCAGATTGTTGTTGTGTTGAAATCCCTGCGCATGCGCAGATCCATCCATGTTACATCTCGGAAGCTTTACCAGCCTCAGCGAGGCTGGTAAAGATTACCGAGACGTTCCGAGATTTTACAAGGATATTACACGGAGGTACTTTCACACGTGCCGTAAAATGTTACTTTTGGTTACATTTTGTTACATTTGGTAAGATTTTTGTACGTGTGAATCGGGTAATAGAGTCTTGTGTGCATATTTTAACCATTCTGACTAACTGCTTGTAAATATCCTGCTTGTATAAAACTTTGTACAAAATATCTGTATAATGTAAACTACATCATACCTTGTTTATAGTATGTACAGTATTAATTTTTTGTCAACAAAATGTTACTATAATATTTACAAACATGGTTGGGTATATCAGAAAAAGATGTTAATGTTAACACAACATTGCAGAAAGCAGTGACATAGCAACATTATTTAGGCCCAATAAGGAAATGATTAGTCAGCATTGTCTTCTATGGTATTGAAAAAAAAAATTTAGGAAAATTTTGTTTTCATATTTTTAGTATACAATTAATAGATATTCTTAGTTGTGAATTTATGTTATAAATTTGTATTTTTGTACACCAAACTCTAAAAAATTATTAAAACATGAAATTGTTAGCTGGGTTTATACCAATGGTGTTCTTAAAAATTCATTAGTATATTCATGTCTAATTTACATGACCTAGTTAAAGATTGCCATAAAACATCCAAATCTGGCCTTGGTTGGTCTGTTATTAGTACTGTAACCTCATGATTTGACAATTCAATTCAACAAATTCAATTCAACAAACATTTATTTCATCCAAAATTAGTACTCAATTAGTACTCTATTGTAGGTTATTTTTTTTAAATTTTAATTGCATAAAACTCCTGTATTATCTTATAGTATCTGAAATATGATCTAAAGAACCTTTTAATTTGTTAAAGCTTTCTAGCGGGGGTGATACCAGGATTTGCGAAGTCATATTTACTATATAAATTTATGCCTCCCTTGAATAAATGCCTCCTCGAATAAATGCTCCCTTAAAAAGTTTTCTCAACAATAAATGCCCCAGGGCGTTTATTTTAATAAATATGGTAATTGATTTTAGTCTACCAATATGTAAAAAATACATAAATTTCTTTCCTCACTCAGAAATAGTTGCTTTTAATATATATATATAGCAAGTACAAAACGTTATTATGAGGACGTTGAAACAGCTTTGCTGAAACATTCTCATTGTTATTTAGTCAGAAGTTATATTACAAATATGTATTTATGATTCTACAAAATATTAGAATTAGAAAAAAATGTTAATACTGTAGAGGTAAATGACAGCACTTCTGCGTTTACTCCAGATACTTTGAAGATAAACAAAATGAAAAGTGAAATGTTAATAAAAGTTGTTATACAAAATAAATATAAAATTTGAATTGCATGCGTATATTATTTCAAACCAAAGCAAATGTAGTACAGTATTTGAATGGGGTAACTGGTGTGCTCACCTTCCATTCATGTGTACTGGGTTCAAATCCTCAATATAGGAATTTGTTTAAAAACTAAGCGTTTACTCACTGTGTCAACCGAAAAATGACTGACACTCAGGACAACCAATCTGTGTTATTTGCGAGTACTTCTCTGACAAAGAAAGACTATAGATTGTGAGAGTGGCACTCTGATCAGATCATTGTTGAAAACGATCCAACTTGTTGCCTCACAGTTTCTGCGTAACCACATGGGTAGCTTGTGGGCTAAGGTCCAACTCTGAGCCTGCTTTGAAACATCTTCAATCCTCATGAAAATTAATCCACCTAACATTTTTATTAAATATATACTCTGTGTTTAGCTGTGCAGCAGTGGCGCCAGAAATTTGCTGACAAGGGGCCTGACATATCCAACGAAGGGGTCCAAACCGAGGGGCTGAGAAGCCTCAGTTGACGACCTGGAATAAAAACATATCCCCGGTAGGGTTCACCGGGAGAGTTTTTATGGTTAAAGCAAAGAGTATAAATAGAACAAGAGAGCCAACAACGCTCATTGAGAGCGTAAAAAAACGATACGCTCTACGCAGCTAGTGTAGGACGCCAACTAACGCTTGTATGTGTTTTATTACCCAGTACTCCACCGCGCACAGTAGGTTTGTCTGTTTATCTGTTCTCCACAAGATACTGTACTTTTGTTTTCTGCTTACTGAGTTTATAGTGGGCGTACTTCTACCGCGCTGCGCAGCGCTGCACTGGGTAATAAAAAGAATATACAACCGTTAGTGGGCGTCCTACACAGGCGTGACGTTTTTACGAACGGGACTTTGTTCTCTTGTACTATTTATACTCTTTGGTTAAAGGTAGATTCACACCAAATCCGAAATTGGTTCATACGCACCTCTATTCTTTACCACTGATTCAATATTCTTTTTTCGTTTTGTTAGCCATACGAACCGAATTCAGCTTCGGTGTGAATGCAGCTTTAGTGTGGTCCAAAATGTGCTTTTAGACCACAGTATTAGGGATTGGCAATCAAAATAACGTTATTTTAATAGGTAATTATTTAAAAAAAATTTTTGATCCGTTAAACTAGTCGTGTCGTCGGATGACAGGGGGGTCTAAGCCTGTTCGATGGGGGGAAATGCCCCTGCTGGCGCCACCACTGAAGCTGTTAAGTTAATTATATACTGTAGGCTACTTTGTAAGTACAGTAACTTACATTGGCTGGTGTATAATTTTAAAAAAAATTGTAGTTTATTGGTCTGTAAATCAGTAGATTTTGTATTATTTTAATACCTTAATTCTTTTACAATACGGTATTAAATTTTTTAATTGAATAAGTATCTATTTGATTCTTATTGACAAATGAATAAGACAAAATAAAAACACCCTTATTGTGCATCACCATTTTATTAGAATACCATAAAGTCATACAAGTTAAGTGAACAATATTTTTCATTAATAATAAACCACCTTAATTGCTTATTTACAAACTTTTGAAGTTAAACTTCAACTCTCAATAAAGGTACTGTATAAGTAATTATTAATATTATAATAACTGAAGTTATTTTATTATGTACAGTATAAAAAAAATCTATAAAATGTGAAGACTCGGTTATGGACCTTTCTAATGATGTTTTCATTTTCAAAAAATCATAATAAAATTGTAACATGTAACTACATGTAAATATTAAAACTCTACACTTAGATTAAAAGGACAAACAATGTGTAAATCATGTGATCAGTGCTATATTTATTTTACATGTACTACTGTAATTAAAACAAAACATTATTGAAAGTTTATTTTATCTAAAAACTATACAATCTATCTCATTAGTCACAAAAATTATATCATTGACTATTTGAAATGTATGATGGGAAGAAAAATAGCCAGACTATGGCAAACGTCACTTTTGGCAATATTTAAATCAAGCTTGCATGCCGGGTGGAAAGCTAAAAGATAGGAACATTTATGCCTAACTTGCATTCATATTTATACAGAAAAATATTGTCATGTGCTCTGTAATTAATATAGAAGCAAATACTTTAATTTGTGCTAACAATCTGTAAAAATAAATAAAATGTGATATAAAATAATTTACAACTAATTATCAAATTTGCTGACAATTGTTTTGGAAATCTCCTGTATTACATATAATTATTTTTTCACCCATAATAAATTGGCGTTACAGGTAACACAAGTACAGTATAATAACATAATATGACAATTGATAGTACAGTATAACATTCAATGTATTTACAGCATTAATATATACAATTCAAGGTTTGTTGAGTGATGACTTAAAACTGACTGGTAATCATATAAGATCCAGTATCAGTTGTACAAATAGCACCATTGGAAAATTCATAAACAGTAGTCACTAAAATTCTATCACATTCTATGTAACGAAACTTAACAAGGACAAAACAAAACAGACATTCATCATAAGGCCAACAAAATCTGATAACTTCCAAGTACAGTGAGAGTTTTTTCAGGGTCGGGCATTCAGGTTATATTAAAATTTTATCACTTTATTCTAGAGTTTATTGAAAACTATCACCAAAAAACGTAAATAACAGAAGAATTAGCTCTTTGCTCATTTGCATTAAAATTGATAGAACGGCCACTCTCCTGCGAGTGGGGTAAATTTGACGTTTGATGAAGTGGAGAAACTACAGTAAAACAAACGAACCCGAGCAGTGCCTTTATCATAAAGATATACTGCTGCCGCGCAGATTTTTAAACTTTTGGGTTGGTCGGACCTTGGCAACACAAATTATATTTTGGCTCGTAACATTGCATTCGCTGTCATACTCACAATCTTCTATTAACGTATACTGCCTAAAGCTTGGATTAGACTTGAGCAATTTAGACATGTTACACCAACTCTACAGCGTTGTGCAAACAAGTCTAACTTGCTCTAGTGCTAACCAACCTTATGTAGTTTGAAGTACACTTGATTATTTAAACAAGACAGACAGACATCAAATTACTTTGGTTTCTTGAAATTATCAGTACCTTATATAAACATTATTTTAAGAATTAATACTTAACAAAAAATATAGCATGTAGCACCAGTGCTGGATTCAAGAGGGTGGGAGCGGACTCAGCTGGCCTAAGTCCCACCTACATTTTTCTAAATTGTAAAAAAATGGACAAAAAAAGAAATTATATCCAAATTTAAGTCTGAGAGTGCCATTTCCGGCCATCTGGTGGTGCCATAATCATAAATTTTCTTACCTCACCCTCAAGCATGGTGCTGGTGAAGTGGTGTAGACCCTCCATTTGTAAAATTCCCCTTCTATTTCGAATCCCTGGATCCACCACTGGGCACAGTGTGTATGGCATTGGGCTTCTAATTACAGGTCATTGTTGGTCATAAATATAATTTTGTGTCTTTAGGCAAGACACTTCATCTATGTTTGCCTCTATTCGTCCAATTTATAAGTGTATACCTGGTCGGAAGTGAATAATTTGGAATGAAATTGGAGGTCATAATTACCAGCATAAAAGGCAAAAAAATTTATAATATGGACTTGTTGTAGCAAGTCTACCAAGAGAGTGGAGGAGGATGCATACCGCATTGCATTTCATATCCACTACATAAATAAAAAAAAACAAAGTCAAATATAATAAATAAAATGCACTTTAAAATAATTTTTTTATCAGAAAGTTTCAAAGTTTGTTACTTTATGGCTTTTCTGGTGAATTTAATAACCATTTTAATTTGCTATTTGAATACCATCATATAAATTATTTAAATCATAAAAATTGTTAACACTATCAACACTGTTCTTTGTACATTCTCGTTGTACAAACAGGAAGGATAATCCAGTGTAATACTGAGTAATTAAAATTCAGACAAAAGTATCGCATGTAATAATAGACAACATCATTGATGATGTCTCCTAAGGCAACAAAGTGCAACATATATTCTTATTGCACGGTAAGTTTCTGAGGAACACTTGTGTCATCTAACACACTGCGGAAGCTCTCAACGCTTACGGTTCCATCTTGGCTACGTGATGCCGCCATTGTCCAGAGCTTCTGAAAAGTCTCGCTGTCCATCTGCACTCCTATGTTGCCAAATATATTCTTTACCTGAAGAAAGAAAAGTTGAACACAACTTTAGGTGGGAGTGAAAAATCAAACTTCATAAGATTTTACTTGACATAATTATAAATATATATTTTAATAATAATAATAATACCAACAATAATAGTAATAATAATAATAATAATAATAATAGTAATTGCATACATGTATAAATTTAAAAAAAAATGTTTATATTGTCCAGAAGTTAAGAGGAAAATGTTTAAGATTGCAATATACACTAATGCTATGTTCTCACATGAGTCTCTGAAGAAAAAAACTCTGATAGTGTATATGCCAGACTTTGAAGATTTATTATTATCATGTAAAAATCTTGATAGAAACCAATCCATTTAATAACATGACAGAGGTTCTAGACAGTATTGCTTTCCCTGTTTCCATGACCCTTGACCCTATCTCACTCAGAAATCAAAACCTTGCTAATTAATTGAAGAATTGCAAAACAATACTTAAAGTAATAATACACTGCACTGTAGCAACAAGGTCATAATAGTAACAGTTATCATATGGATAAAGGACATAAATTTACCATACAATGATGGAGATGATGATGAGAAAGATTTTAGCCTAAGATTTAAGCATGTAACTTTAAAAACCCATGAGACTGGTATTTGTCTAAGTGTCTACTGAATTGTGCATTTTGGCCACAAAAGTATCATCTCAAATTGCCCTTTGTTAAAAATACCATTTCTTTGTGATATGACTATGGTTTGTATTGTACATGCAAACAAAATATTAATGCAGTGCAATAGTAATTTGCTGGTTATCACAAGACAAGTACTGTACAGTATATATAAAAAAAGCAACTTACAACATAATATTTAAAAGCAATACCATTTTACAATATTTAATGCTATGCTTAACTCTTTACCTAGAATGGCTTCCAAAATACTGTTTGAGGTGAATGCTTTAAAATTATAATAATCAAAAATAATAGTTCAGTAATAAATTGAATTAATGAAAGAAAGAATAATGAAAATTTGAAAGAAGAAACTGTGAATTGAAAAGAAAAATGTGGCTAAATTAAGTAGATTACAACACTGTAAATAGGAGGAAAATACAATTTAAAATTCACCATACTGAATGCACCAATGAGAATAATAATAATATAAATACTATAATTAAATCATAATGAAAACAATAAACATTGAAAATTAATAATGAAATATATAAATAGGCCTAATAACAATATAATAATTATCGAAATATAATAATTGAATAAAATAATTATCAAAATATAATAATTGAAATGATATTTTTGCTTTCTGACATGTTATCATACTGAATGCTCAGTATGTTCCTAAATACTTGCTAAAGAAAATTGCAAGTAATTTGGTTGGGGGAATCAAACCCACAACCTTCAGATGACTAGCCTGGCCTATTGAATCTCCTGAAGCAAACACCATCGAAATAATAAAATAATTATTGGCTAAAGGTAGTTTACAAATTACGAAGCATATTTACCATGATGAATACAACAATACCATTATACTGTAACAATAACATTACTGTAATTTGATATAGAGGAGGAAATGTAGAACATGATTGAATAACACTTACCAGCCAAAATGCCTTGTGAAAGATGAAGAATGGTAGAAATAAATTAAAAACAGAAAAGTGAATGAAGATATTGGGGAAAAATAGTTTGAAAACAAAAATTGGCAATAATAGGGCAAAAAAAAGAAAGAAATAAACAACTTGGTTGCCCAAGCCTGACCAGGCTAAATTTCTTTAAAAAAAATTACCAACTGGTTTCAAAGGTACCGATTTCAAAAGTCATTTGGGAAAACAAATTTTTTGTTGACCTATTTAATCAGCTTCAAATAAGACTATATAATAAATTTGGTTCTCTCTAATTCCTTCTTACCTCTTCAGCTTCTCTTGCTTTAAAAAAGTCTTTCTCATAAACACCTCTGTTACTGTAGATTGATGGGTTCACTAAGCCGTATGCATTTGATTCATCGCCGTAATTGGTTCGATCACTGATTCTACGAACAATTGGCGCTGCCCTATCGCTGCGTATCGTTGGAACCCCATAAGTTCTGTAGCCTGAATTAAAACAAAAAATATATTATAAAGGTAATGATTATGATGGAGATGGTAGTATATTTGCTTAAAATTTTATATTGTGTTCATAGTTTAATGTTTTATTTGTATACTAACTAATAATAGACAGTTTGATGCAACTTGTAACAAAAGAATCATAGAATCAGAACATCGCATTCTGCTTAAACAAATTTAGCTCAATTAAAATTCTACTATGACGCTGACACAGCTTTTGTGCTAATAAAATTTGTAAAGAAGTTGTCAAATCTTTATATTTATTGTGACAGATCATTGCCCCTGGGAATCATATGATCTGAAGAAAGAAATCTATATCTTCAGGTAAACATCAAACCAATTAGAAAACCAGTTATAACAAAAGTGTTCAAATATAAAAAATTCAACCACCAGCATTGAAAATGGGAAACACAATTAAAAATGTCAAAATATTTACACAAAAAAAATTTAAAAACTTGAATTGATTATAATTATCAATCATGTTAATAATTAATTCACAGTTTAGTTATATCATCCTGATGGAAATAATCATTATTAATTAATAATGGAAATGGTAATAATTGTATTAATAAATTAATGATGATACAGTAATTGAAAGCAATACATTAAAAAAAAAAACTCCAATCAAATAAAAAGTAAAGGTATGATGCCAGGCTAGTGATCTGGGGATCGTGGGTTCGAGTCTCATCCGAGAACAACTTGCGATTTTTTTCGCAGTTGTTTTCAAATGTACTGAGTATTCGGTACATTTCCACGTCAGGTAGGGCAAAAATTACATCTATACAAATAAAAATTGTAATAATAATAAATAAGATTGATCCATATATCCATTTTAAAGAAATGATCAAGATGCTTGCGAAAATAAACAGCAAAAAAAGAAAAAATCGGAAAACTAAACCAGTAAATATTCTACAAACTATACAGTAATGACATATTTTTACAAAAATTACCTTGTGTACAGACGCCACCGACAACTGCATTTATCATGGAATTAGAGGTCCTATGTTCTCCAATAGATTTGTCAATCTGTTTACTGATCACTTCCGGCGAGTGAGTTTGAGCCGTGCCTGGTGCCAATAGTTTCTCCTCACTGGTCATTTTCTCTTGCCAGTTCAGGAAGTTTGCAAACTCGGTGTAATCTATGCTACCATCTCTATTAGCGTCACAGTAGGAGGTAAGCTGGATGAGTAGCTCTGGGTCTACAGGCAAGTTGAACTGCACACAGCACTCCTGAAGCTCGTTGATATCAATTCTACCATCACCATTCTACGATATCAAAACAATGGAACCAGTCAAACACCACTACATTATATGGGGTGCTATAGCAAGCATGAATATATTATAAAAAAAAAACCTTGAATAATTATTTTACTGTGATTTGCATTAACCTCAAATTATAACTACAATCCGAAAAACATTCTTGTATTAAAAAATTAGCAAAAAAATAATATTCTTATTCATTACACACATATGAAGAGTTACCTTATCGTAATGCCGGAATGCTGCACTCAGATCATTAAAATTATGATAATTCGCCTTTTTAAGTTGTTGTCGTACAGCTGCAAGGAGTCCACGCTGCCGTTCTTTACCTCGTAGGTAAGTACCAGGAACACGGCAATGCATCAGATCTCCTGCTCCATACTCATCGGGACGGATTAAAATCCCGAAGGTGTGATCGTCCGGCACTCTCATTGTGTCCTTGATTGGATCATGTACTTTACCAAGTTGCGGTTGTGTTCGCTCACGGAAATCATTCACTCTTTTGGAAACTACCTTTGTACCTTTGTCCCTGTTGAAATAAAAAAGCCAGACCTTGTAAAGGGTTTACAGTAAAACCAAATAATTGGACAAAAAATAAAGCATGAAGATAATTCAAGTGAAGGTTACTTTTTCTTGAAAATTGAACTATTTTAAATATGACTAGCCCTTTTCCTCATTCCATTTCCAGACTTAAGTAGGCCCCACAGTAGACGATATGTGTTAAGCTAATGAATTTGAATAAAATTCAAAATTGTTATTGTTTACTTTATATCTCTGTTTTTTCTGTCCAAACGAGTGTATTAGTTACACACAGATTTTTCCATTTCGTTTCTGGAAATCCCCTTTTCTTTTTGGTTATTCTAAATTTCTTTTGATACACTGTGTGTTGATGATTTATATTATTTTATTACTGTTGTTCAAGCAAGGAAAATAAAGAACTTTTGTCCTTGTCATAACATTTATATTGCTTACTTTATAAATTTCAGGAAGTTTAATTGAAAAAATAGAGTTATAATAACAAACCACCACAACTTAAGTGATGCATAAATAATATTTTACCTACATTTCAAAATGGCTGGTAATCAATTTAAGGATATTTGTAGTATAAATTCGAAAACAATGAAAATATATTTAATTACATCCTTTCTATTATTTAAGTTAATCTATTTGATAATTTTAAATGAGCAAATTCAATGTTTCAGTTGATTTTTGAGTGATTTTTCGAATTTAACCAATTAAAAATGTTTGTCACTTTTTCCATCAACTAGTAGAGTAACACTTTCCGTATAAAGCACCATATAAATAATACCTACATTATTATCAAAATAATAACCTAGATTACGAAACACTTACAACTGGTCATTCCTCAGCCATTTCAATGATTTATACACATGCTTGCCATCGTTTTCATGAGGTGTTGGAATTCCAAAAGTGCTGTTCTTCGGATAACGTGACCAATCGTAATTACGATCTACAGATTCTCCGACTTCAAAATTATGGTGTGTCCATTTATACAATTCCTTTCCTTGCATAGATTCGAGTTCGACCTGTTCATAAGATTTGTCTGGGCTAACCAATTCGCCAGCCGTGCCATCTGTAAGAATAAAAGAGATGTGTTTGAGTCACTAGAGCTAATGTTTGAATAACACTGACAACAAGGGGATCTGTTTGTTAGATTGTATTATATAGGTCTATTCAATTCTAACACAACAAGATTCTTTGTGGATCTACATGTGTTTGCATTCTGTGACCTGAGTTGGCCTGTACATCTCTGTACGAATGCATCGCAAATTATGTGCATGACAATATCCAAATTACTTTGGATTGGATATAGTCAACATTAGTACAGACCAGCACTATGGCAACAAGCAGACAGTCAATTAAATCAAGTTACTTGTGAACCTGTAAACATTGTAGTGATCAGTTTAAGTCTGGGATGGAGTAATAATCATTCAAATAATCATCTAAAATATTTAAACATTTGCTGCAAATATCTGGTGGTGCTTTAAACCTCGTCCACACTATCAAATTTTCTTTAACAAAAAAAACTGTTGGATGCCCAAATATATTCATGATGTGCCTATATATGGTCATGATGTGATGTCATCATGACATATTCAGGATTATCACATGTTTTTGTCCAATAAAATCTGATAATCTGGACGGGCCTTAAGCTTTGTACTCAAATCAAATTTGTGTGATGTGCTCATAATGGACATGATGATGTCATATTATACCCAAATATGGGCACATCACATTTATTAGTAAAAAAAAAATTGATAGTGTGGACAAAGTTTAAAATCTCAAAATGGTGTCATGAGACGTATTAGATTAAAAAACGAACAAATTGAATGTAATTTTATTTTTTTTTTCATGGAACAGTAGGCCTACATGCAGTATTAAAGGGTTTTTTTGCAAGAAATGTACAGGATTTGAACCCAGGTCTATGAGAATGGAGGGGAGACACTTTACCTGCAAGCTCTCAACTTCCATTCTTTCATTGAAGAATACCGCAACACAACACAATCATGGCTTTTTTTTTACTGCAGTCAGTTGGCCATTGCAGACTTGTGCAATTCCTTAATTGGATAGTCAAATAAAACCTGATGGATCAAGCAATTTATATAACGGTGAAGATTTCACATACCAAAGACGTTCTTCAATCCAAAAGATGTTCCGTATATATCAACTCGATCAGGTAATCCAGGTCGTTGGTCATGTGACTTGCCTAGAGGGGCCTTCTGCTTGCTTGCATATAATGTCTCCTTTTTGTCCAGATATCGCTGGTTGAATAATGTCTTTGGATCTTGATTCACGAGGTCACCAGCCTGGAAAAAAAAAAAAAATTATGCAAAAAAAAAATTACATTATGAACAACAGTATAAAAATAAATTGGATGTAATTACACTAAAAAATGCAAATGTTAATGTTGAATACATTTTTGTTTAAGCAAGCACCTACCCTTGTAAGTAATACAGTTCATAAATACTGTATTCATTAATAAAAGAGAGATAAATTTATATCAGTTGTCATGGTTACTCCTCTTTCAGTTTATACTAATGAAAACATACAATACATATTTTAAGATATTAAATAAAACTGTATTCGTTCTATTAATTTAATACATTCAAAAGAATGTATCAAAATAAAGCCCTTTCTATAGAATTTCACCTGCTAATTACTTCTAATTCTTTCCTTTTCCTCGTCATCTAAATATTTTACATAAATCTGGTGTCCAAACTTAGATCTTACAACAGCTTAGAAAATAAAAAGTACCACCTGCTCAAATCCACATTTCTTGCCATTATGAAACAATCTTTAATGACAGACCGGGATGTATTAAGAATCAAATTCAATTTTGCACATCCGAGCACTTTGTAAAATTTGCTTAAGAAAAGTAGCCTTTGCAATAAACGTGTAATACTCTCCTATTCGCTAGTCAAATCTCTCGTTGATTAAACCTTACCGAGATAGAAATTGCAATTAAGTAAATAGCAACCACTGGAAACAGAGCTCGACTGCTTCAAGTTCACACAAAAATAATAAAATGTCTTCAGATGAATTAATGTAGAATTCTAAATGTAATTTATGTAAAAAAGAAGGGGAGATTGTATAAAATATATGGTTTGACAAACCCTGGAGATTTGGTGATGAAAGATTTATTTTTGTGACTAATACGAACAATATGATAACAGTGACATGTAAAGCCAGCAAGATTTCGGAACTGACAATTATTTATGGGGGTTGTGTCCCTTTATAAAGGATCAATTTTAGTGACATTATGCTACAGAAAATATATGGCATTACAGAGTATACCTGGTTTACAGTACACTCAATTATACAGTTCAAATTGATATTGTGGTGGTAATTTTCTATGCAAATTTAGTCTTGAGATTGTTAAACTACAGTAGACTAACAGAGAGGAGTTATATCTTTATGGTTCCCGTCTAATCCCAGGCTCACTGGTTCGAATCCTATGAGATACCAATTTTGTTTTTTACTAATAACAACTCCACTCCCTAAATTTCTGTCCACACTAGAGTATCAAGTTTTATGTGACACCAGTGATTTGTCCTTACAAATATGTGACATTATCAGGGCAAAATAATGGGCAAATCATAGATATTTGTCATCAAAAACTTTGTAGAAGAGAATAATAAGCTTTATAATGACTCAATGTTTTTTAATAGGAGAATAGAAAGTACACAGTATTCTGTAACATTTTCACATTCTGAATTTGGTCGGCGAGTTTTCAATATTAATTTAGTTAAAGTTAATCTGGACTAAGTATAATCATGCACACGCATGCTAATACTGCATTTAAAAAACGTTGATGACTTCATTATGTTAGAGCTTCCAATTTGAGTAAGTGGCTTAAAAATACTCAGATTCCATTCATCTTAAGTGCCCTGGAACTGTTTCCATAGATACAAAAGCTCATTAGCATACTCGATATGTGATAAGCCTGGAAAGTACCTACCGGAAATTATTGAGTTTTCATTTAATAATATACAAATAATATGAATATAAGAATAACCATCGCAAATTTGTGAATTATATAAATACTGTCAATATTTTACATAGATTTTTAAATGATTATTTTGATAAGAAATGAACATATTTCCCAATCAATTTTTTTTCAACATTTTATTCTCCTGGTAGCAACTTTAGCTTATTTTATGCTATAGATTTGCTAAAAAATATGGAAATTACATGAATACAAGAAAACAAAAAAGAAACTTGCCATGTTTAAATTTTAAATGGATTTTTTTTTAACGGAAAGAAAAGAGTGAGAGAGAGAGTAGCAACCTGGGGGAAACGCTTGTAAATAACTTATGACACTTGTTCACATAAATCATTGGCATCGTTTCTCAAACACTGATTCCTAGTTCTTCAGGGAAAGTGTACAAACAATCGGGAATTATATTGTCGATAAATCATCTATAAGGTATTACATCATCCATTAAACACTAATAATATAAGTCCTCTTTTAAATCCTCGTTCTCTAAATGAAATGTTAGAGACTTTAACTAATTACAGGGATTTAAATAAGGTAAAATTTCTAATTATCGTTATAAATTCTATTTCTACAGTCAAAGAATTGATATGTATTATTGAAGGAATAAATCATTGAAGATAAATCAAGTGATACTTTTGGTGAATTTATACTACAATGATTATCAAGAGAGATAACTACCTCGCCATTTTTTTGTTTAAAAGCCCAAAAAAACACTTCCAAAATAATTGTCTGTCGTGAAGTGGCTGATGATGTGTAATCAATTACTACACTGTCAAAGTTTTGCTAATGCACGCCTAATGATCAACCCTCACAAATGATCACCAACATATAATCAAGAATTAAGGTTCAACCTTAATTAACATACTTGATTATGAATAGTGAAATTAATGACAAATGTTTTGTAAAGATAAAATATTTCTAAGGGCTGCTACATTAGTGAAACAGTGCTGTCTTACCCACTGAATTAAATACAGTTTGAATTCTGAATGTCAAACACCAAATACTGTATGTCAATAAAGTTTAAATTTTCCTATTCATAATTAAGTCGGTCCCAATTTTTAGATTTTATAGAACTTTCTTGATCCATATTTTTGTAAATAATGGAAATGAAATGACCCGAAGAAGATGAAGGGAACAAGAATGATTTAAATTATTTTTTTTACTCTTTTCATTTGTTACAGGTTTTAATACATCCATTATTCTAACATGTATTGGACATAAGATCTGGCTGCAATGACAATCTCATCCTTTATTATACAAAATTCTTTTACACCTAGATGTAAACTCCTACTGGACTATAAACAAGGAATTTAAAACAATAAATACAAGGAGTATCCTTCTAATTGTTTAATGAGTATTTCAAGAGATACCATAATCCTACCTTCAAGGATCCCCAAGTTGGAACACCATGAGTAACAGTGGAAGCAACATCAGGATCATGAGCCTTCCCATAGAACACTCGTTGGACTTGAGGTTCTGGATGGGTAAAGTTACGGAATTTCTTAACAGTGTCTGGCGTCTGCACCTATAAGATACATTGAGACTTCATTAAAGGTTCTAGGGATCACAAACAAAACATACTCTATTCTTTGATCTCCTTCTCCCCCTTTCCTCACACCCGAAAATATATTATATAATAAAATGATGATTGTCATTTTTCCATTTTTATAAAAGAGCATTGTACATAAACAGTCGACCCCACCCTCTACTATGTGTCATACTACATATAAATTATGAAAAATGAATAACACCTTAAAAATGTCTTCACAGTCCATTTCCAATTGATTTGATGATCTTTTTCAGTTTACATTGTATAAAACTTAACCACTAAGAGACATTTAAAAAAAAGAACTTATGAACATATAATATGTTCTATTATGATAATAAGTTTGATTTTTAAATTGTAGTAGATTGTAAATACACTTACCCTTGGTATATTGAGACAGTCTCTGGCAGTATTTTCTGGCATAGTAATCAGTTTTCCTGCCTAAAAGAACAAACAATTTTTTAAAACTCAATTCTATACATTAGGTCCTACATCCTGATTTCTATGAAGTACAATAATTAAATCCTCAATGTTGAATAAGACATGTCTCCATAGCAATACAGCAAATACAGTTGCTATGGTGATAATAATTTACATGGGAAGTCTTAAATATTGGCTTTTGTTATGATAATGAGATGAAATTAATTCTAAAAAGCTGAACTAAGTGGGAGTCAATGTTGGAATTCCAAGGCTGTTCAATGAACAATAGAGGAGCAATGGACAGGAAATTAAATATCTATTTCAGTTGTAGGTTGCATTTTGGAATTTGAAGGTGTGTTCTAAAATAGATGTCTTACTAAGCCTAAGGTTGAATACCATATGCAATTTCAAAACAAGTATCCATAATTTATATAAAAGGGCAGTAAATATGTTATGCATAGTGTATCATCAGGTATAATAGCACCTTCCTGGTATAATACAACTAATTGTAATTATATTATTAAAAAAAAACCCCAAAAGGCAAATTAAAGGAAATAGTGAAAGACCATACAATATTATGCTTGATTAAAAACTGCAGGATACTTTATGTCTGTGTTGTATGTGATGGTAATATCTATTCAAAATAGCATACTGTCGTAAATATAAATTAAAACTCGTCAAACAAAACAACACAGCATCATTCCAACTTACCATATGGCCAGCCACAAAATACCATATTGTAGTAACAATAATAAACTACTGCTCATTAATATAACACATAATGTTTTTAATTAGAGGCCTTTGCACTAAACACTTTATTATTTAGACTGGATTTAGGAAAAACTTGAAATTAAATAAAAATTGGTCTGTAATATCTCTAAGACGAAGGGACCTAAAACCAAGAAATATGTCAAATATATAACAAGCCTGCCAAGACAGAAAGCTAGCAACTCATTGTTTTCCAGGGCAGCAGTTTTGGGTGCAAGACCAACAAGGTTATCCACAGCATGCAACTAGTTCGTGTGGAAAAAATTCTTTAAAAAGGATGTAAAATATAATTAAATGGTAGGTATACTTTTTAGGTGAAAATAATTAAAGTAATTAATTTGAAAAGATTTATGTTAACTGGCTGATAGAATACTTGATTAAGATTGTTTAGTATGAACTTGCAGGCTGGTGCAATTAACATAACACTCTAAATTAATTAAGCATTATATAAATATTTATTATAGTTTAAAATAAACAAAATTAATAAAACAATTTAATTTTGCTTGGTTTCATAGAAGTAAACTGCTTTCAACCATAAAAAAAAAAAAAAAACAGTTTTTTTCATAAGGATTATGAATATTTTATAAAGATAACTAGCATTCCATAAACATTTCAAGACTAATTCTTTTTTTTTAGTGATTTTTAATGTATACCTTCAAAAACCCACAGTTTATTGGAGTATAATTCAGAATTTAAAAACAAGAAAAATAGCTAATTATCTAAAAAATAATCCCCTATTATGCTTAACTCAACCCTAAATGACTTCAATTATTTGATTTAATGGTCCCTAAAACTCAAATATTGAGGTAGACTTGGCATTTTGCAATTTGGAATTGTTTATTCAAGATTAAAAAGTTTTTACATGCTAAACACCCTGCCTCTCTCAAATAACTTTATGATCAATCTTACTCTGCAGCAAATGTCCATCCTCAAGCACTGTTCAATCTCATTCCATCATGTCCTTCATTTCATATTTGATCTTTTTTACTAACTTTCCTCTTTCTTGCCTTTGTTGTTGTCTCTATAATATTGAACCCAATATTGATTCTTCAACTACTCTGCCATCTTGTTGACTATGCAACCAACTAGCTTTCCTATTGATCTAATTCCCATTACCAAACACTCTTTTTCTTATTGTAATTTTCATTAATAATTTTGTATATTTAGGTTCATGCATAGTATTAAACTTTTAATTAGATTAGGCCTAGTCAAGTAAATAATGTTAGCTTTTTTATGATTTATTAGAATATTTCTGGTTACTGTATAGTAAACTGAATGAAACTTGAAGCAATTTATATTAATTTAATCAGCATACAAACATTGTCTTGATGCATTTTTAATACAGTACTTATTATACAATAAGTACTGTATTAAAAATGACATGCATACATTTTTTTAGGCCACCCTAGGCCTAGTATCTGAAAAAATAGTCTCAATTAAAAATGAAACCATTGAAATCATGGACAATATTGAATATTTTTAATTGCTTTATTGCACAAAATATTAAAACAAGCAAGAGAGACAAAAAAAAAGACTACGACATGGGCCAGGCTAGGAAACCGTGTTGCAGGTTGTGGTAAGGCCTATAATTAATATTATTTTAATAATTAGGGCCTAGGCTAGACCTTCTTAGGTCTAGGTAGGGCCCCCCCCCCCCTAGCCCTCTAGGCTAGGGAGGGCCTATAATAGTATAAATAAAGATATTATTTATTAAAAAACCTAGCCTAAACCTAGGCCTGGCCCTACTACTAGCTGGCCTACATTGAAAAAAATATATAAATCGATATTATTAATGAATTTCTGGATGGATTACACTTTTATTCCTTCATAGAGGTCTAGGAACTAGCTCTAGCCCGTAGCTAGGCTAGCTAGGGCAAACAGGGAAGGACAGCCGGAGCTGTGAGAGACAGACAGAACTTACCGTGATCATATCTGGATTCCTATCCGTGAATTTTCCTCCATTGCTGCCAATCGCCTGGCACGATACTAAATCTATACTATTCCGTTGTCCTTCCATAACGTTATAATATTTTGAACAATAATATAAAAGCTAAATAAAAAGAACTAAAATAAAAATCACATCACACACAAACAGTAACACTGCTTCTGTTTCTCTGCTAAGCTTTCTCTATTTACACCTCCTCAACACACCACCTCCTTCAATTCTTAGCATTTACATTGTTTGTAGGGGGTCGTTGCTAAGCAATATAGGACCAAAAGCAAATGTTCTTTAAGCATCTGTATATATGAATATAACACAATAGCTATATTTCAGTATAATTAAAAATAATGAAATATAGTGAAAATACATGTGTAATATATATATATTGGTAATAAAAAATAATAATGGTATAATATTGTACCAAAAATAAACTTATGATTAGCAGTAAAGGTCATATAGGACATATGGCGCGCCTGTTGGGAAATAATACTAAAATAATACTTTAATATAATGATACACGATGAATATAGGGTTCCTATTAAGCAATATAGTTGCATATATACACTATGTGGAAATTATTACACGAATAATTATACTGCAAGGCAGTAGTGGCTCTAGGATATATTTTCTAGGGGGGGGGGGCTAAGCTGTCCGACAGGAGGACTTGAGCTCGTAGGCCCTAGCTGGGGAGGGGTTAAGGGAGGGGGGTCCCCTCCCAAATTAGATTTTTTTAAAAAGAATAGCAACCTCTGGATGGCCGTAAATGGCACTCTCAGCAGGGAGGTCCCTGCTCTCAGACTCTGACAGACATGTGTTAGCTTGGTGTGGGCTTATATTTTTTGTGTCTGACTGCACGACGAGCTCTGTCCGACAGGGGTGGGGGCTTGACCTGTCCGGTGGGGACTTAAGCCCCTGTCAATCGCCATTTTTTAATGTCATAGCCTAGCTATGACGATACACCTGTACAATTTGTTTTTACCTTTTGCACACGAACCTAAAACAGATCAAGCCGTGCACTAATAAAAAATATGTTAGGGCTAAGAAAATAACATTGAAAGTTACAGTGATGACGTCACGATTGAATTATAAAGTACGGTTTCTTCGGTTGTGACTGGTTAAGTCCACACTAAGTTCTATGTATAATAAAAAGTGTCTGGGGGATAGACGCCTATACCGTAGGCCTATAATAGGTATTTGTGGTCTAGCGATATGGCACTCTCCTTGTTTGGCGAGCTGCAAGTTCAAATCCCTCTAGAGACGCCTTGTTAGTCAAAGCTCTTATAAACACGAGATAGCGTTCTCCGCGATTTACGCGTAACAAATAGAAGCGTCGATTTGGCAGCAGAAAGTAATCATTTTGGATTTTGATACACAATTAAATGTATACAAATAGATTAATGATAATAAAAAACAGTGTTTTTCATTTGTATAAAAAAAGTGTCCTTAGCGGGATTCGAACTGCAGCCTCTCGCTTTCAGTCGCTAAGAGGGCGAGCATCATACCATATATGATATATACTGATGCAAATTTAACTCATTGCACTTTTCTCTTGACTTAAGCTTACTCACAAAGAGTGGAGCTATGGTTTAGATAGAATAGCTTATAGGTCGCAGATATAAATCATAGTACTGTAAATAATATTTAAATTAGGATTACTGCTCTTAACAAATGTTATGAATACCACACGAACGATATTACTGTACTGTACAAGTATCACAGCACTCACTTGTAAAACAAATATTATTCGAATCGACTCTTTGGCGTTCCATAACTTTTGACGTAATGCATACGGGAGTATTGTACAATGTTCTAAACTGCAATCAAAATATTGATGATTTTGGTAAGTAGTCCTGAAATCACTAACAAAGATTCTTTTTATATTCTGGAAACATATCCGAAATGAAAATTTGAGTCCTTGATTATCATTTTAGATGACAAAATGTAATAGAAAAACGTAAATTTGTTGCTTTAACTCCATTTTGCGAATGACTATTGAACAATCTACCAGGCCATTTTGTGTGCAGTTTTCAGGTCACGAGAGATACTGGGGTGGTGTTTTGTGGAGAATTATCAATCGATTGTTATTGTCCGATTTATGTAATATTTATAATAATTTACGTAAGACTACTTATAAAGGAATACTTGATGTCATTGAAAATCCTTTACAAGTTCGTTTGTGTTTTAGTTTGTTTATTAGATTGATTTTTAGACTAGTTTTTTATGCGTCATAATCCAACATGGCGTATGTCAACACGGAGAAAGCTAGTCATCTGACGAGATGCTCGGACAATGAGGAAACGATGTGTGTGTCTGTGTGTGTGTCTGTCGTGGTCGCTCTCGCCTAGGCCTAGCATTTCATTGAAGATCTAACGTATACAGAGCGGGGGTATCTTATTAATAATGGTGTAGGGTTGCTACATGCATATTAATTCATTTAACTAACTTTTTGACTTGAGAACATTTGCCCAATTTCAGATCAAACTCTGTAAAAAAATGTTTAGGCCTAGGGCCTAATACCTCTAATGGCCTAGGCCTAGCCAGATTGGCTTGGCTAGCCAAGAAAATCACAGGGCCCTCTGCCTAGCCTAGGCTACCCTTTCAGCTAACTCTTACTAGCTACACTATGAATAAATCTGGCCTGCCCTACTGTACTGCTGTATTGTACACTGGCGCCGCCTGCCCACAGTTGACAAAATACAACAATACATTACAAAATAATGATGAATAAAGGCCTGTTTATACTTGCAACGATAATGATAATAAGCTGAAAAGCAATTGTTCATATAGAAAATAAAAGAAATAAGAGAAGTTTTTACACTAGGACGATTCGATAACGATTTATCATGTATACGATAATAAATTATTTTGACAAATAAATTCAAATGACGTCATAATCATGGAAAAACGATAAAATCGTAGTACAGTAGTAACAATGATTTTATCATTTAAAAAAAAAAAAAAAAATCCAAGTGAAAATAAAATACGATAAAGCAAAGGAAGAAGGCAATTGCCCAAGAAGATTTAAAATTAAATCTTGTGATGGGCCAGCTAAACAATATTTTTCTCTGGATTAATGTACACAACTTATCTTGGTGGTAAGATAAAGAATTAGGTGTTTCTGTCAGGAAAATAAATATATTAATATAAATGTTTGATAAAACACTTTATTTCACATGAGCAGTGTTATACTATTAAGGATTATAAAACTTGGTTTCATCTAATTTGTCACTAAGCCTGTTTATAACAGGCTTTTTTTTTTTTTTTTTTTTTTTTTTTATAAATTTTAATCTTTTGGGTTATTGAAATGTTACATTTTCTATTTGTAATTATTGTAGATCAATAGTTTAAAGAAAACTTCTTTATCAATTACTTATTATTTTAATTGTAGAAAATTTAAAAAGCACTTTGTTCTTTTTAATTTATGTGTCTTTCATCCTTCTTGTGTTTCTTACTTGATAGATGATTCACCCTTTGGTTTTTCTGTCTTGTGTTTCAGTGCTTATATTTTTTAATATAAAATTTGCGAATAATACACAGTGAAAGCAAATTGCCCAAAATCCAACATGTTTGATTGTTGATGTTATTGATTATAAATAAAATCAATGTAAACATATTTGGTCTATTTAGAATCTCCATTATACTTGATGTTAATTAGCCTTTTTTTAAATTTTTCAGACACTATTTGGCGTGGCGAGTTTACAAGCAGTACCAGACCTTGACATTATAAAAGAAAAACTTGGGCATTAGTTGCCAAGTACATTTAGAAAGAACTCTTCAGTAATAATAACAAACCAAGGAACACTTTAGTAATGGCTAGCAGAGGTGGTGCACAGCGTCCAAATGGAACACAAGGCAAGATATGCCAGTTTAAACTTGTCCTCCTGGGAGAATCCGCTGTAGGCAAAAGCAGTCTTGTATTGAGGTTTGTCAAGGGACAGTTCCATGAATATCAAGAATCTACAATCGGAGGTATGTGTTTAAAAGTTGTCATTTTGAAAAATTGTGCATTCTCTTAAAAATAAACCAGTATGTATATTTTGTCTGATTATTTTTTTGTGTGGATTCATTTTGTTTACAAAATGTATATTTCTATATACTGGGATCACTCTAACATTTTTTTTTGTTTAGCCAATTGGCTAAAGTCAACAATTTTTTTTTTCTTTGGCCAAAATTTGACGAAAATTGTTAAAAATCATTAGCCAAAACTTGCTTACTGGACATAGGGTCCAACATGTTCGACAGTACTGTAGAGTCTGAACCAAGTGGCCGACTAGAATCTTGCCGGGTTGGATCCAGAGATGTACATGGTGGGGGGGGGGGGGGGGGGGGGAGGAGATGGTGTGGCGATCAAGACAGCACTACTCTAAGGGGTTTACAGTATTTTTGTTTTCCAGACGCCCAAAAATAAACCTCTGAGGCGTTTATAGGAGAATCAATCATTTCTTTTTTTTACTTTCCAAAAAAAAAAGGGGGGGGGATGGTTTCCCTTAAATCCACCCCTGCCTAGGTGAGGGTGGGGTGGGGGGAAGGAAGAGATAACGTTATTTGATAGACAAGTTAATATTTTTAGCAAACCAGTGAAGAGGTACTTTGAAAGTTTGCTGAAAATAAGCCTATCACAAAAGTTGAAAAATTACGTAGGCCTAGGCCTATACAGTATTTTCTTTTTAGTTTTGAATGATATTGGGGGTGGGGAGCTAGCAGTGGTTTACTAGACTACAGTATATTCAAAATTGGCTTGGGGCCTGATCGTCTGTCACCCGAAGTTTTTACCGCGATAATCAAGAACGTACACGATCTAGGCCCTGCAGCTAGGCTAGCCTTGCTTGCGAGATTACTCTCCTACTGTACAACACAAGTACGTACACTGTGTAACTAACCGACCCACGCAGCGTATTCTTAAATTATTTAAATGTATTTTACATATTTGACAATACATAGATTCACTGATTAAATTATTATTACCAATACTAAGCCTAGGGCATCCTCTTTCGACCACCATCACATCGCATCGGCCCTCGTGTTTTAGTGGAAAAACCCAGCTAGTGCTACCTTTGGTCTACGTCATACAGCCGCTGCCCTGCATCTACCGCGTTAAAATCACAATTACAAATAAAAAATAACTTGCGAGGCACCCAATGACGTTTGCAGCAAGACTACTCATACAGCAACACAAATAAAAAGCATTGCATGGAGTTAGTGAAAAATTGAGCTCAAATGGCGATTTAGCGAACGGTTACCGTGAGCCCAGCATATATGTATTATTCTATGTTGTACTGTTATTGTATTTGTTGAGGTTCCTTTAAGGCTTGATTTCCATACAATCGCTACACGTTATTGCCAACAGCTTTTTCTGATGCAAACCATTAAAAAATTATGGAGTCCATGGTGGTATAATTGTTTTTCTTTGATTAAAATTAGAGCATTTTTGTAAGGCCATAACATAAAAAATAACAATAGAAAATGTCTGCAAGTCTCACACGTTTTAAAAATGGCAAAATTGGCCCTTTTTTCAAATCAGCATATCCTTTTTCATTTGCAATTCCTTTTGTGATACTAAATGTATAAAATTAATTGTTTTTACCAAAATTTATCGTAGCATCATGGGGAGAACAGCAACACAACCTATGCTATATATATATATA